TCTGCCTATCTCAAGTATTTGTCAATGGGCTGCAGTTTTATAAGGAGATTTAATTTTATCTACATTCCTTCTGCCTTTGTTTCCCACCTTTCTTCATTCAGAAGGTCATCCCAGTTTTAGAATAAGGCTTATAGCTGTTCTGGCCCTGTAGGGAAACTGGTTGGGGTGGAAAGGACCCACTCACCTCAGTTCTCTCAGAAGCCATCATCACAACCACCCCACAACATTCTTGGGTGGTGGGCCAGTACTACCGAAGAGAATATGGGAGAATGCTCACACACAGCTGACAGGAAACAAATATATATGTGGAATTTAATTTGGCAGTATCAAAATTTTAAATGCTGATATTCTTTGAACCAACAATTCTACTTCTAGAATTTTATCTTGTAAAAATATTGGTACAGGCGATGTGGGAAACAAGAATTACTAAATTTCCTTACCACCTACAGCCCATTGACAAGTCCTTAAAAGAGGCAGAGTGACATTCCTCTAGGGATTCAGCTGCCTTGATGTTAATATTTTGCTAAGGGCAACAGGTAATCTTAGCCCAACCCCCAGGATCCTGTGAGTCTACTTTAATATATAAAAATTCTGTTGGAAACTTCGTCTCTACCCCCAGATACATGTTAGCAATCATCCCTGAAGTATATGACCCACTACTGATAGACATCTGAAGGGTCTCATGACTTAGTTTTTACTAACCAGTAATAAATGACCTTTTCTAACAATAGCTAGCCCCCTCAGGATCCTGGAAACTTTGTTTCCTGGGAGGCTTACACTAACCCTAACTCCCTCCCAACTTTATTTAATGGGCCACTCCTCAGGACCCCAGTGCAGTTCTTTCTGCCCATGGGTCCTGTCCCCGTGCTTTAATAAAACCACCTTTTTGCACCAAAGGCGTCTCAAGAATTCTTTCTTGGCTGTCGGCTCCAGACGCCATCAAACTTCACCAAAAACATTCCAAAAGAACTACATCAAAAGGATAATGTGACCTCTGCTGGAATCCAGCGCCTGTCACATGGAAGGTGTTCTATATTATGTAAATATATAGTATTATATTCCATAGTGATGGAATATTTGAAATCTTGATAGTCTGTTAGATGAAAAGCATCCTTTTTAGAAATTTGCTTTTAGAAATGTATTAGTCTGAATATTTTCCTGCCTTTATTCAGCATATGCTTTTCCTCTTTTGTCTCTTTTTCTAGGTTTTAAAAAATAGAGGTTAAAAAAAAAACCTCATCCGGGGGGCTGTCCTGGGGGCCTTTATTGAGGATCTTCTGGGTGTTGAGATGGTGGAAGTGGAGTTGTGTACAAGATAGGCAGTTCCTGAAGTCCTGGTGCTTTCCTTCTGGTGGGGGTGGAGTCAAAAAATGTTTTTAAAAAGTCAAAGTAAAATTTCTAGTGTTTGCTCTTGGTTAGCTTGCAAGCATTTTTCTTCTAGAAGAATGGGATTGTCTTTTAATTTTGCTTATGATGCATTTTCCTATTTTTAGATTTGTTTTTGGTAGTTAGTAGATCTGTTGGTCTTTTGTAGTAGCCTTAGAACTTCGTAGTTACTTTTTGTCTGTTTTCCTTGATATTTTAAGCAACACTAGGATGGAGGGAGTGTTTTGTTTATCCTTGAAAGATAGTATAGTGTAGTGTTTGAGATCTTAGACTCTGGATCCTTTACTGATGAGGTTTTGGGATACAGGTGAGGTTCAGTGGAGTGGAGTCCAGAGCCGACGACGTTTTATTAAAGCATGGGGACAGGACCCATGGACAGAAAGAGCTGCTCCACCGGGGTTGTGAGGGGTGGCTGATTTTGTACTATGGGGTTGGGGGAGGTAAGGAAAAAGGGAGGTTTCCAAAAGAACTTTCATATGCTAAAGACTCACGGGATACCGGAGGCCTTGCCATTGTCAAGTTAAGGTGTTTACCCCTCTAGGAGGGCATTAACATTAATTAAGGTAGTTGGAAACTTCCTGGAGGAACATTACGCTGCCCACTTCAAGTATCTGTCAATGGGCTGCAGGTTATAAGGGCATTTAATTGTATCTACATTTCCTTCTGAAAGCTAGGTTATTGATAATAGGAATGCTTTGTTCTTGTAGATTGCTAAGACATTTGTAAACTGAGGGAGACACCTGTCTTGTAGGATTGTGATCTAAGTTAACTGTTTTTCCTTTAGGGCAGCCAGGCGTGCCTGAGGAATGTCACATGTATGGGGGGGGGGGGTGTCAGCATCTGCTTTGTCATCAGCTTGCCTTCTGTTCCCTGATCATTTACTACTTAATCTGCGACTTTATGCAAGTGGTTCAACCTTTCTGAGCCACAACTGTCTCATCTCCAAAATGGAAAGAGCACCTTTTCTCACAGCCCTGAGAAAAGTAAACTGTCTGGCACATAGTATGTACTCAGATATTATCTGTTGTCAAAATCATCATCCCTGGATACTCATTGTCCTATCTTAGACAAACAATAAAGAATCAAAAGAGTGAATACACTAAGGATGTTTGTACATATTTCCAATTCCATTGATTTGGAGCCCTCTTGAAATGGATGAAGCTGCTCAACAAATATTTATGAAGCTTATGTGTGCGCAAGGTTGTGGGCGTAGAACTATGATAGAGTCCTTCCCGTCATGGAGCCTATAGTCTGGCTAGGGAGAGACATCAGATACTGGTTCAGAGAATAAAAGAGGGAAGGTAGGATCTGGTTTTGATGACTAATCAACTAAGTTATTTCTTTAGAGGTTACATTTTAAGCCACTGCCTGAAGCAGGGAAAAAAGCATATGAAAAGACCCAAAGGCAGAAGAAGTTGGTATAGTTAAAGAATAGTGTAGAAATACTAGATTAAAGACAGTATTGCTAGGATATAATGAAAGAGAAGGAATGTTGGATGAAAACAGTTATGCTGGCTATTATGTGGAAGAACAGTAGTGAAAGCAAAAAGAGCCCTGGGGAAACCATTATATTCCTGGCGAGAAGAAATGGTGGCTTGATCAGAATTGATGAACTTGAGATGGTGAAGGTGTGGAATCAACAGGACTTGATAAATTTGTGATGATGGGGGGGGGGGTGTCTGAATATTTTATGAACCACCCAGGAGTTCAGGCAGTCTGGATTGGAGGCAGAAAGTACAGAGTCATAAACACAGAACAGGGTTTCTCCACTTCGGCACAATATTTTTTTGACATTTGGGGCTGGATGATTCTTCGTTGGGGGCTGTCATATGCATTGTGTTTAGCAGCATCGCTAGCCTCTACCCATTAGATGCTGATGAAGTTTTAGAATATAAGTGAGGTTCAGTGGGGTGGAGTCCGGAGCTGACGACTAAGAAAGAATTCTTGAGACGTCTTCGTTGCAAAATGGTGGTTTATTAAAGCACAGGGACAGGACCCGTGGGCAGAAAGAGCTGCTGCCCCGGGGTTGTGAGGGGTGGCTGATTATATACTATGGGGTTGGGGAAGGTAAGGAAAAGGGAGGCTTCAAAAGGATTTTTGTATGTTAAAGAATATTCACAGGATACCGGAGGCCTTGCCATTGTCAAGTTAAGGTTGTTTACCCTTCTAGTAAGGCATTAACATTAAGATAGTTGGGAACTTCCTGGAAGAATGTCACACACGTCTCACCCAGGATTGGGGGTGGGGGTTGGTTGCAGGGTGTTGGGCTTACGCTTTGTCTTCAGCCAGCCTTCTGTTCCCTCATCAATGCCAGTAGCACCCCATCCCCCAGTTGTGACAAGTAAAAATATCTCCAGACCTTGCCATATGTCTCCTGGTGGTCAAAATTGCCATTGGTTGAGAACCACTGGTAGAAATGGTGTTTTATAAAAGCCATGGAATTGACTGATATAACCCAGGGAAAATAAAAAGCAGAGGTCTAAAACTATTGGCCCAGGGGCGCCTGGGTGGCTCAGTTGGTTAAGCGACTGCCTTCGGCTCAGGTCATGATCCTGGAGTCCCGGGATCGAGTCCTGCATTGGGCTCCCTGCTCAGCAGGGGGTCTGCTTCTCTCTCTGACCCTCCTCTCTCTCATGCTCTCTCTCTGTCTCTCTCAATAAAATTAAAAAAAATAAATAAATAAAAAATAAATAAATAAAACTATTGGCCCAAAGACCACAAAGATTGTTGTAGACAAGTTCTTTTTGACTCCACAGAATTTGATAATCTCTGGAATTACCAGTATTTACAAATTGAGAGATTTCTGCATAAAATCTGATTTTTGCCCTCTTTTAAGAAATCAAGAAACTGAGGAGCAGTGAGTTCTTTCCCACATGAATGCTAACGGCTGGAGGCTTTGAGATTTGGCATTCATATGCTTAATTCATATGAATCCCTGCCCCAGAGTACTTCACTGTTTTAAGTTGCTTGCCTATTCCCTTTGGCACTTGAGTTTTTGATTTCTTAATTTAGAGTGAGAAGAGGGCCCCAGAGCAACCCTCTTGAGACAGGTCAACATTAAAATTTGGGTAGAGGAGTGGCGCTAGAGGAGATTGAGAGGGAGTGGCCAGTGAGGTAGGAGGAAAACCTAAATGGAAGCTCACAGAAGCTGAGGGAGAAGGGACGTGTGTTGAAAAAAGAAAATATTGCTGAAAGATTGAGTAAAATCACCTTAGAAGAATATCTATTGGATTTGCTCGTGTGGTGGTTGTTGATAACCTTGTTGAGCAGTTTTTGTGGAGTTAAGAGGTTGAGGCCAAATTGGTTAATGACAAAAATGAATATGCAGAAGCAGTGAATTATGAATTGGTAAAATTATAGTAGATCATGATGCCTTTGACCACCGCCTCATTGGTTCTCAGCAGCATCCTGTTCACTGCTGTGGCTTGGTAGTACCTCAGGGCTGCTCCACAGTTGCCCTTAGTACCTCACAAATTCCCAGAGTAAAACTGTCTCCAGTGTATTTGTCATCTTTGCTGTTGGATGGTGGTGGTATACCTTGAAAATCTGATAAGATCAGTGTAAATGAGCAGTCAGGGTCTTCTCGTTTTATCATATACCTAAGCTTAAAATGGAACCTCTATTTAGAGCATATGTATAGAGGATACATTTGGGTTTGGAATTCTGCAGTTGATATAAAAAAGTTAACATGTCTATAAAAAATGTAGTGTACATTGCAGGGAAAAAGGTATGGAATTGGATCATCGTTTCATCAAAGAAGCTCAGGTGATGATACCAGCTGTCTGAAATATGGCAATGTTGATGTTATAAGTAAGTGTTTGCTTTTGGAAATCAACCTATAATATAAAACAAAAGTGATTGTGATATGAGATGGGGAGATAGCATGTGTGATTTGGCTATAGAGGGGGTAGAGAAATGACATAACTGGTGAGGGGTGTGGGATCCAGATTTTATCTATAGATGAAAATACACTACATACATTTTTTTTGTGCCAATGAAAGTCTTAGGCAGAGAAGGAGAAATAGTTGGATGATTGAAAATATAATGCTAATTAGTAAAGATGGCAGCCTTTCCATGTTTTTTTAGAAACTAAGGAGATCATTTTGTCATGGGCCCCAAACTGCCAAGGGAAAAAAAAAAGGAAAATACTGTCTGTAGTCACCCAGTGTGACAGGTTTGTTTTGTAGCTCTACTCTAAATCTTTGGTTTCTTTCCATAGGTTCTTGATCTTCCGCAATGGGTGAGCCACAACAAGTGAGTGCTCTTCCACCACCTCCAATGCAGTACATCAAGGAATATACAGATGAAAATATTCAGGAAGGCCTAGCTCCCAAGCCTCCACCTCCAATAAAAGACAGTTACATGATGTTTGGCAATCAGTTCCAATGCGATGATCTTATCATCCGCCCTTTAGAAAGTCAGGGCATCGAACGGCTTCATCCTATGCAGTTTGATCACAAGAAGGAACTGAGAAAACTCAATATGTCTATTCTTATTAATTTCTTAGACCTCTTAGATATCTTGATAAGGAGTCCTGGGAGTATAAAACGAGAAGAGAAACTAGAAGATCTTAAGCTGCTTTTTGTACATGTGCATCATCTCATAAATGAATACCGACCCCACCAAGCAAGAGAGACATTGAGAGTCATGATGGAGGTGCAGAAACGTCAACGCCTTGAAACAGCTGAGCGGTTTCAGAAGCATCTGGAACGAGTCATTGAGATGATTCAGAATTGCTTGGCTTCTTTGCCTGATGATTTGCCTCATTCAGAAGCAGGGATGAGAGTAAAAACTGAACCAATGGATGCTGATGATAGCAACAATTGTACTGGACAGAATGAACAACAAAGAGAAAATTCAGGTCACAGGAGAGACCAGATTATAGAGAAAGATGCTGCCTTGTGTGTCCTAATTGATGAAATGAATGAAAGACCATGAAGGATGTTTCTTCTTTTTGCTTTTCTCTTTTTCTTTTCAGTAAATGGTATATACTCATTAATTTGCTCTTGGAGTGTCTTAAAAGAGCTATAACTAGAAGTCATGTGAATGGCTTGACTCCAACTTTATCAATTATGAGATGTCACAGGCATTGCACTGTATGGCAAACATAGGGAAATGAGTATATATGTATACACTAAGAGTAATCACCTTGAAAAGGAAAGTGCTGCGATTGTGTGGAACATTCCTGGATTTGGAGTTTAGCTCATGGTCTCAGGGTCCTGGGATCGAGCCCCGCATCAGGTTCCCTGCTCACTGGGGAGTCTGCTTCTCCCTCTCCCTCTGTTGTTCTCCCTGCTTGTGCTTTCTCACTCCTGTTCTCTCTCTCAAATAAAAAAAAAAAAAAAAGAATCACTGATAAAGGTAGTACCTTTTCCAGAGGTCTTCTTTTAATTCTTCCCTCAGTTCTTGGTTCCAAGTATACCACCCTTCAGGGATTTGCTGTATTGAGGTTTATAGTCCTAGAGCTGGTGAAGTCCAGTTTAATGTGGCCAGAGGCCTATTTTGTATATGAAACATTCATGCATCCTTTTCTTGGGAGTGTAGACTGTTGCCAAGTAGATACCTCTCTACTAGACAGGCAGCTAGTTGGGCAATTTTTTTTTCTATATGTGTTTGATAAAGATTTTTGGGCACTGGGAACATAGTCCAGGCTCTCAAGATTAAATTGAAGGGGGGAAAGGAGCACCTCGTCTGTAGGGGAGCAGCTGGATGTTGCATAACACTTGAGCAACTCTTCAAAGAAATCTCTCCTTTGGCCTCAACCATTTTATAACTTAGGATGTTGGGCTAGGAGGTACTAAACCAATTTTTGGCTGCTTCACAATTCTGGACAAATCTAAATGAGTCATGTAAGAGTCACATCATTTGTGTGTGTGTGTGTGTGTGTGTGTGTGTATGTAGGTAGGGAGGATTAGGGGTTAAAATTCCATGAGGAATCTAATTTGACTTTGGGAGGATCTGATCTTGGAGGCCTGGGTGGCACCTGACTAAAACTAGAGTGCTAATGTGAACTGCAATTACAATGAGAGTGGGAACACTAGTGGTCTTATAGTTGTTACAAGTTTAAAAGTTACAGTCTTTCAATCTTGTGAGGGTCAGAAAACATCTCTGCCTACCTAGTTATAGTGAATATTCCTGATAGACGGATTCCTCAAAGTGAAATCTCTGGAATAGCCTGGCACCTCTTGAAATTACTGATTCCCAGACTGCAGAGATTCTGATTTCATTGTTCTGGGGTGGGGCTTTGGCACTGGTTTTAAGAAATCTCTAGATGGGGCGCCTGGGTGGCTCAGTTGGTTAAGCGAATGCCTTCGGCTCAGGTCATGATCCTGGAGTCCCAGGATCGAGTCCCGCATCGGGCTCCCTGCTCGGCAGGGAGTCTGCTTCTCCCTGACCCTACCCCTCTCATGCTCTCTCTCTCTCTCTCTCTCATTCTCTCTCTCAAATAAATAAAATCTTTAAAAAAAAAAAAAGAAATCTCTAGATGGCTTGACTGTGCAGTGGGTTAAAGGAATATTGTATTAGTACACTCTGTTCCACCTATTTGAAGCAAAAAGACAAATTTTTGAAAAGATAACTCTGCTGTTGCATGATTGAAGGATAAATTGAACATCCAAACTATGAAGAGGACTAGGAGGATTTCCAGGGCAACTGGGACTCAAACTTCATTCAGATCCTTTCATTGCTTCTCCTGTCTGTTTTCTTTCCGTTAGCTCCATTCTCTTTACAAACCAGCCTTTTTGTGAATGGATGGAAAACACAGCTGCTAGCAGTTCCCAAGTGTTAAGTCTTCAGGCACCACTGTTAGAAAAAAGGAAGACTAACTAACCAGCCCTGAGGGGGAATTAGGGGTGGTATTTCTGATTCTAGCTGGGCCAGTCAGTTGGGGCCTGAATCCTGTAAGAATTTGGCAGTCCCCAAAATGTCCATGTATGGGAGAAGGTAGTCCACCTCTCAGGAAGTAGGTGCTGAGTTGGTCATATTGTAGATATCCACTATAAATTGAGCACATGTAAATTTTTGATAAAAATAAGCAGGTTGTGCTTATTTATATTCCCAAACTCCCCACCATCACAGTTCATTTATTAATTGTATCCACTTAGTGAAAATTGTGGTCCTCTGCCTGACACCGGTCTAGTTACCAAGGAAATGGAGAATGGGGAGGAAAGTGAAAGAAAGATAAACAAGAACACAAATGAGTTAGTTTTTGAAGTTCTAAGTTTGTTTTTTAACTATCCAGCCATTGCAACACTCAGAAGAATCTTGCTTCTAATTTTATTCCTATTGCCTGCTCTAAATTCCTTGTCCACATTATCTTTTCAAGTTATGTTTACATGTTCACATTTGTTAAGGGCTTTTGAAGGGAGCTTCATCTGTACCGTGCTGTATTTCAAAGAACAGGCCTGGGTTGGTTCTGAGGTCACTGAAAACAGCAAGTACAAGTGTCTCTTGAAGAAATAAAAAGCATGATTTGGGTGAGAAAGGCTATTAATGGATGTAATGGAGGTAAGAGGTTGGAGCTAGAGAAGCAGATGGAGGGCAGAGTACAGGCCTTAGACGGTCAAGGGAGGAAGTCTGCTTTATCCTAAATTAGATGGGAAATCAATGGCAAATATATAGTTTTGCTAGCGCTGTTACCACTTAACATACATAAATTCGTTTTATCCTCACAGCATCCTAATGAAATCAGTATGACTTTTTACATCTATGTTACAGATGAGGAAGAAAAGGTTCAGAGAGGTTATGTAATTTACCCAAGGTCACCAAGCTAGTGAGAGGCAGAGCCAGGATTGAAATCTAGTTTCAAAGCCTAAGCACTCAATCTCCATGCTTGAGCACCTTTCTACTGCATCATATAATAAGTCATAGTGGAGCCTAGAGTGGAATCCCATATGTTGACCCTAAAGTCCATACTCAAGACACTACATGATACTGGTCTAAGGGAGGAACAGATTTGTAGATGGAAATGATGAGCTTCCTTTGAACATGTTAAGGTGTTTATGTCTTAGACTTCTTCAGGTATCTTGAGATACTGTGTTTATAGCGCTAATCTTCCTCAAAAGCCGCTCTTCGTAGGTGTTCTTCCACTTTATGAGACTGAGGATCAGTTTTGTGGCTTGCCCAGGTGGTGTATCCAAATTAGAATCTAGATCAGGAGTTGGCAAACTTTTTCTGTAAAAAGCAGGTTAGTAAATATTTTAGGGATTGAGGACAATAAGGTCTCTGTCTCAACTACTGAACTATATGGTAAAAAGCAGCCAAAGACAGTATCTAAGCAAATGAGTGTGGCTATGTTCCAGTACAACTTTATAGACACTGAAACTTGATTTTAATTTTCATGTTATGAAATACTCTTGATTTTTCCCAACCACTTAAATAACCCTTAGCTTGTGGACTGTACAAAAACAGGCAGCTGACCATTTGGCCCACAGGCTGTGATCTAGGTGGTTGCATTCAAAACCCTGGAGTGTACTCACAAAACCAGTAATAGCCACAGAAATAAAAATTACAGGATTGTTGTAAGGCCTAAGTGAGATTGTGGCTACAAAGCACTTCGCACAATTTGTGGTATTTAGTAAGCTATCAAAGGTCATAGTATCTTTCCTGATAAGTCCTTTGTTTTCATTTGGCATTTAGACTCAAGATATTTAAGAACTGTTTTCAAGTTGCAATGTGATTAGTCTAACAGTAAGTGGCACTCTTGTCTCAAGTTTAGAAGCTGCCGCCAGGGAGTAGGCTGGAGAAATTCACGTGCTGCTTATGATACTGAGCTTGTTTTCATTCAACCAGTGAGACTTGTTGCCTGTGCCTCTGGCCTACAAAATCTTTTCTCATGGAGAGAGCAGGGTGTGAATTTTTCAAAATACTTAGTATTATGTTGTGAATACAAGTCTTTTGATCAGAGCCTTTCTCTCCTGGACAAGACCTGGGGAAGGCCTCAGCACTATTGGTTAGTACTGAGTGAATAATGACAGATGCTTCTCCCATTTGCTTAACACACATGACCAAGGTCTATGAAGCTGCTGGTTCCCTGCCCCCCACTCTGATTTGAGTAAGGGATGATATTCAAAGGATGGGAGTCAGATGGGGAGGTATGGCTTGGTTGACCAGGAATGCATTGTATCAACTACAAGGAAAGATATCATTTGGGTCTTTACTGATTTTGTCATTCATTCATTCAACAAACATGAAGATCTGCTTCGAATACCAACCGTTAAGAGCCATTTAAAATGAAAACACTGACATGGAAAGATATTCTAGATATGATCAAAGCAAGTTTGTAGTCTGTAGTCTGAGTTCCTATTTGTGTCTATCTATATTCAAATTGGAAAAATAAAAATGATTTTGTGGATGAAGACATTGAGACTCAAGAATGTAACTTGCTATACATCAAGGACACGTCAGCTAGCAAATGGCAGAATTAAAATTCAGGTTTAAAAGAAAAGAGAAGACATGGTAGAATTGGGGCTCCACTATTTATTGGCTGTGTAGCCAATTGAAACTCAATTTCCTTAACTATGGTAATTCTTATACCCATCTCATTGGGTAAGTACTGTTAATGTTGAGAATGAAAGAGAAGACCCATCCTAATTCCTTTTTGAAACTCATTTGTCCCCAAGCAACATACACAGTTAGGTCTCAGGCTTGCTAATCATCTGTGCAGAAGTATCTGATCTGGAAGGGCTAAGGGGTTACCTGGGAGGCTTACGTGGTGCATGAGCCTGGGCTACTTACACGAGAGAGTGATAAAAAAAAAAAAAAGGAAGGCACAAATAATAGCAGAAATGAAAAAGGGACATTCCTATAGATTTTATAGACCGTATGAAATAATATGAAAATATTATGGAAAACTTTATACCAATAAATGTGAGAAATTAGACTAAATGGACAAATTCTTATAAAATTATCAATATTGGTTTAAGAATAGAAACTTGAATAGCTCTCTAATGATTTTTTTTTTTAAAACATACCAGTAGTCAAAATCTTCTCACAAAAAAAACTTCAAGTTCAAATAGCTTTTCTGGCAAGTTCTACCAAACCTTGCCAGAAAAAAGAAAAACAAAACAAGTTTATTTTATATAGACTCCTTCAGAGAATAGATAAAGAGGGAACATTCTCTTTTTATGAGGCTAGCATAAATAAAATACTAGCACATTCAACGCAGGAATATGTAAAAATAAAAGGTAATGTTTTATGGCCAATCTGTTTATTTTAGGAATGCAGAATAGAAAATTAGTGTAGTCTGTCACAATAGTAGATTAAAAGAGAAAAATCACTTGATCGTCTCAACAGATGCACAAAAGGCATTTATAAAATTTAGTATCCATTCATGAAAAAAAAATCTCTTAGATATTTAGGAACAGAAGAGAACTTTCTTAATGTAATAAACAGTAGCTCCATAAAACCTACAGCATAAGCACAATACATACCCCAGGTGGAAGCTGAAACCTTTTCTGTAAGAGCTGGAATGAAACAGGATGCCTGCTATCAAAACTTCTGTAAAATAGGAACTAGATTTTCTCTCCAGCATGGTAAGGGAAAAAAAAAAATGTAGGATTGAAAAGGAAGAAACTAAACTCTCATTACTTGCAGGAAATATGACTCTACATAGAAAACTCAATATAATCTACAGATAATTTATTAATAAGAGAGTTTACTGGTTGGAGGGGAAAAAAAATCACCATTCAAAAATAAAGTGCATTTCAGAATACCAAAAACAAATGATATAAAAAGTTAAAAATAAGATACATGTAAAATAGCATCAATAATATGAAGTACCCAGGAAAAAGTCAAGGTATAAGCTGAAGATCTCTATGGGGAAAATCTAAACATTTTATTAAGGGATATTAAAGAAAATCTGGATATAAGAGATTAAAACATGTTTATGGATTGGAACACTCAATATTGTAAAGAGGTCAAATTTACTCCACAAAGTGGGAGAAAAATAGTGTATTTACAGCAGATTAAATCAGCAGAGGACTAGTATCCAAAATATGTAAATTACTCATAATTTATATGAATAATTATCAATTTATGATAAAAAATTGAGAATCCCAACAAAAAAATGGGCAAAATAAGCATTTGTCCCCTTAGCATTCCCCAAATCCAAATGGTTCATAAACAAAAGAAAAAGTGCTTGTTAACCTTGGTAGTAAAGAGGAAAATGCAAATTAAAGACACAGTGAGATGCTATCATATCCTTTACCAGTTTGGGGAAAAAAAAAATCTGGTAATATTAAGTGTTGATGAGGATGTGGAATAGGAGAAATTCTTATACACTGCTGGTAGATGTCTTGGGAAACAGGCATTATCTCATAAGTTTCAAAATGCATATCCCCTCTGACCCAGTAATTTCACTCTCAGAAGTATACTCCAGAGAAGGTTCTGTATTTGTGCACCAGGATTTGTGTACGGGAATGGTCAGGGTGGCATTGTTCATGATAACTGAAACAGAAGGTGAAGTGTTTATCTAAAATATAATGAACAAATAATTTGAGGCATATCCATTCCTGGAAAAATATTCAGTAATGAAAACGAACAACCTACAGGAATACACAACAGCATGAATGAACCTCACAAACACACTGTCGAGTGAAAGAAACAGAACACAAAAGCTTACAGATGATATGATATTCATATGATGTTCAAAAACAAGAAAGACTCTACATATAATTTTGGAATGCATACACAGGTGGTAAAACCATAAAAAGGACGAAGGATTATTGCAAAATTTAGAATAGTGATTATCCGTAGGAGAGGAGGAAGGTTTTGTGATCAGGAAGGGACACGTGGGCTTGGAGTGGGTGTCAGCAGAACTTGAAGAGACTGGCAATGTTTTACTTTTTGTTTTGGGTCCTGGTTACCCGGTGGCTTGCTTTATAAATATTCGTACACTATAAATTTATATGTGCAATGTCTTGTACATCTCATGTTTTCCACCTGACAAGAGAAGCTATATTGTGGCATCATCATGCACCCATCGTCTTGGAAAAATCCAAAAGTCCGACGGGACTGTA